GTGTGTGTGTGTGTGTGTGTATGAATGATTCATTGTGGTATATTCATACATGAACATAGCACAGTTTGGTAGACTGTCAACTTTCTCCCTACCATTGCTATTCGGCAAACCCACCAGAGTCCTAAAAGCAATGTGTATACATCATCAAGAACTGGAACCACCAAAATAAACTTTCATCTTTAAAAGCTGGTTGTCTGAGGTATTAGTGACAGTAACAGTGAGATGACTAACACACTCAGGTACAGTACTTTAACACAACACAAACAAAAATAAATACCTCTTGGTCAATGAGTTTGTTGGTGCATGTGAAGATTAAAGTCAATTGAATGTGAGAAAGAGGGTAGAAAAATGAAGAGCTTTTAGTCAAAAGAGCTAGCAACTGAATTTAAAATAAGTCTATGGGGTTATGTGAACTTAGAAATCATCTTCCTTTTTTTTTTTTAAGCTGAGCATTACTAATTAGTGACCATAATAGAGTAGGCTTACCACAACAGTCTCATAGAGATTTAATGTATGCTTGTGGGTGGGACTGCAAATTGGTGCAGTCAATATGGAAAGCATTATGGAGATTCCTTGGAAATCTGGGAATGGAACCACCATTTGACCTAGCAATCCCTCTCCTCAAACTATATCCAAAAGACTTAAAAACAGTATACTACAGGGACACAGCCACATCAATGTTATAGCAGCACAATTCACAATAGCTAAACTGTGGAGCCGTTCAGTGGATGAATGGATAAAAAAAATGGATAAAAAAATATATGGCATATATATACCCAATGGAATTTTACTCAGCAATAAAACAGAAAAAAATCATGGCATTTGCAGGTAAATGGATGGTATTAGAGAAGATAATGCTAAGTGAAATTAGCCAATCCCCTCAAAATCAAATGCCAAATGTGTTCTCTGATATAAGGAGGCTGACTTATAGTGGGGTAGGGAGAGGAAACATGGGAGGAATAGATGAATTCTTGATAGGGAAGAGGGGAGGGAGGGAAAGGGAAAAGGTAGGGGATTAACAAAAATGGTGGAATGTGATAGGCATCATTATCCAAAGTACATGCATGAAAACACGAATTGGGTGTCAACCTACTTTATATACAAACAGATATGAAAAATTGTGGTATATATGTGTAATAAGAATTATAATGCAAAAAAACAAGTACATGTATAAAGACATGAATTGGCATGAACATACTTTATACAAAGATGAAAAATTATGCTATATATGTGTAATAATATATAATACATTCTGCTGTCATGTATTTAAAAAAATAAAATCAATAAAAAATAAATAATAAAAAGAGAATTAATGTATGCATTGAAGCAGTTAAACATTTTTTTGAGAGATAGACCCTATAAATGACATTATTCATAATTTAAATATTAAATATTCTGTGTTATCACCTGTACTTTGGGAAAGCAGATACATGATCAGTGGATGCAATGGATGTATTAAGTCACTTTACCCATACTGTTACCCACGTTTAAGGTGTAGCACAAAGAGGTTTTAGGTAACAATGGAGTTTCTATTAGTTAATAATATTGTAGAACATACTCATGTGAAGTGCATTAGTACAAATAAATAAAAATAAAAACATTTAGGTAGCTGCCTAGTTGTACAACATATCATATCCTGTTAAGACTGTATTTTCTAATATATTATCTAACATATATCTAACATAGATTTTATGTTTCTAAAAACGAAAAGTGAAAGGTAATAGAGTAAATTCAGAGCCATGAACTGAGTTGCTTGAATGGAAGTAAAAGAAAGAGAATTTGGGAGGGAGCTGTGCCATTGAACTTGACTTATTTATTCAATAAGTATATCTTGAATACAAGGCATGTTCTAGACACTAAGGAACTACAAGTTAACCAGTCAGACTTAGCCTCTGCAGGAGGAATACATGCTCCATGTGAGAACAAAGACCATAAAAAGAATGAATAAATCACCAAGATGGCTTCAAGCAATGGTAAATACTGTGAAGAATCTAAAACAGGATGCTGTGACACTGCAGCAAGGGAAGGGTTGTTAAAGAAGGATCTCTGAGGCAGTGACATGTAATGACTCTCAGCTTTACCCTCCTGTGGGGAAAGAGTGTCCCAGCAAAGGTCTCCCAACTGGAGTGCACTGAGCATGGTTTTGTTGAGGCATATTAGGAAGACAGCACAATACAAGAGAGTAGCCATGGCTGGAGAGGATGGTGCGGACCTAACTTGTAGGCCCCACAAGAAGGTTTTTTTAATTTTTTTTTTTTTATTTTTTAGTTGTAGTTGGACATGATACCTTTCTTTTATTTATTTATTTTTATGTAGTGCTGAGGATCAAACCCAAGGCCTTATACATGCTAAGTAAGCGCTCTAACACTGAGCCCCAGCCCCAGCCCCAGGAAGTTTGGTTTTTAATTTTATTAATGGTCTATTAATGGTTACACCCTCACTGTCTTATTTTATTGATTCTAGTAGTATCTGTGTCCATTCTGCCTTTGCTGTGCACCTGTTACCAGCTGCTAGTTTCCAATCCATATTCTCTCTTTCCTCTTGTCCTGGCTGCTCTTCTGAAGAATCCGCCATCTTTCAAATAGGAAGACTCTATTTTTGAAGGATTAGAGAAAATATACTCTCTGGCTCATTAGCCATTTCTCAGAAAGTATTCCTGGTCCTCACACGTGGCTCTTTTGCAACAAATAGTGTACTAGTTATGAAACTGAAATCTAAATATGAGGCTGGGTAGAGCGATGTGCCTTTTAGAAGCTTTATGTAATCTCTTATGGCGCTGGTGCCAGAGCCAGTTTATCCATATGGCATAGCAGGCACTGTATCTAAGGCCCACAACACTTTTAGGGGTTCATAAAAATGTTTAAATTTCTTTTAAAATCAGAAAGAAACCATGAACTTTTATACTGAATAAAACAATTAATATTAATATGGTTACTTTATAACAATATAGTCATAAAATGTAATTTTAAATACATACGTTCCTTACCATCAGCTTGTGTCCTGATAAGTATATCATAAGGTAGAAATAGTGTAAATCCAAATTGCATTAAATACACTTAACATAATGAACATCATAGCAATGTGCACACTGTATAGAGTACCGGTTGTTAGTTGACCGGGAGCTGCAGCTCACTGCCCCTGCTCAACCTTGTAGGGGAGGATCTTACCACATACTGTTAGCCCAGGAAGAGATCAAAACTCAAAATTTGATGTATGGGTTTTACTAAATGTGATTATCCCTTTCACACATTCTATAAAACCAAATCATCCAGAGTGAGGGACCATCTATGTTAGAAAAATAAATGAGCACCTAATAGCTGAGATAAAGTCAGTTAATTCACTTACTTCATTTTCAATTCAGTGTTTGCTGTAAATTCGGGTGCTAATAAATCAATACACATATTTTGCAAGTCTGAAACTTGGCTTAGAAGATTACTCTTCAATGATTTACAATAACAATTCACTATATCATTTACTTAGATTTAGCCACCTTATTGTTTTATTTATGATGAAAGGAAAAGTATGGGAAAATAAGCTGAGTTTGAAGTAGTATTGTAAAAACCCAGGTTTTAAAAGTCAATGGTCACAAAAAATTCTATCCTGCTCATCATATTTGCCTTGGCTTAATCCCTATTTACCAACTTCCTTCCTTCTGGCTATTTTCATCGTCTTCTATCATTAAACTAAGACAGTAGTTCTCAGTCTTGAAAGGAGCAGAAATAACCCCTTGAGGGAAGTAATAACTACCTACTTTTCCGACCACACCTTTTCTGTCTACTTTGAGGCTTCTTCTTTCTCCTTCTGCCCCCTAAATGTTCCTGCCTGTGCCCTCTGTTCAAGCCTTTATTTTTTTTTTTTGTACCTTTGCCTCTGATAATCTCATTTGCTCCAGGATTTCAATTATTGCCTCTCTCCAGAAGGCTCCCCAAAAGGTGACCATATGTGAGACTTTTCAATCTACAGGCTCACATTCTGACTGCCTGCTGCTCGTCTACATTTGGATGTCCTACAAGCAATGCAAACGTAATACACTTAAAACTTGAACTTCCTGCATTATCAGTGTAACTTCTCCAGTTCTGTTTGTTAATGCTTCATTTCTGAAGCTCAGGGTTTCCTTGAATCCTCCCTCTTTCTCCATTGCTGCTGCAGTTGCACCCTCACTATCACCACATGCACTATTTTAAGGACTTCTTAACTGATCTCTTTACTTCCAATTGAGGAACTTTCCTTTTAAACACAAGCTTGTATAGAGATAGCATATGGACTATCAGGCCCAGAAGCCCTGGAATGATCTCCTTCTGCTATTTTCCTTAGGAATTTGTAGGGCAGACTTTCAAAATATACCTATTGTTCTTAAAGGGAGAGATGGACATGCTTTCCACAGATCTCTGCACAAAGAGTTACGGGGAAGCTGGGGTTGTTGCGAGAGGAAGAGAAAACTCTGAAATAAATTGAGTAGGAATTATGCACCCTCATTTGGCAAAGGGAAGTCAGTGGATATGAGAGAATGAACTCAACTGAGTATCTGCCATTAGACAAAAGAACCAGTTCAGAGTCAAAGACTAGATTATAGTGTCAAGCCAAAAGAAAGGTCATTATTCCACATCTATTTTTAAGCTGTGGATTACATTCCTATAAAATTATGTGTTTGTTAATATGTGATCTAAATTTCTTGTTAGGCTGAAGCAAGGCTTACCATTAGCATGCTATGCCTTGTAGATACTATACTCTGAATTGATGCTTAATACAGTAACGAAGTATCCAATTTTTTCCCTAAACAGAGATCATATATAATGTTTTGATGTCATCTGCATTCCTTATAAGGAATGGAAGAGGGCATGTGAAGGGCAGGCTTCAGATGGCATTTAACTTCACTAGAACTAGGTTGGAACCAGAGGGGAGGCTGAAATTTTATTTCTATCTTGCTCTTAATCAAGTGTTCAATAAAAAAAGAAAGAAATCTTCAAGACATATTGACTGGACACATGTGGAAGAGAAAGTACAGAAGCAAAATACCTTTAATAAAATCACATTTCTCTGGCTTTGTCTACACTCACTCTCCAGGCCTTTTAGAACCTCAAAAATTTTTTGAGTATGTAGTAATCATAAGTTCTTAACTGTGCTTAGTACATGTCTACTTGCCCATCACTAGGTTCATTCTAAAACTTTCACAAACACAGCAAGATATCAATAAAAATAGCAGAAATAATGAAAATACACAGAAGGAAGTCAAGACCAATGTCGCGGACAAGGAAAGGAAAATAAACTAAAGCCAAGGGTTATTCACCTACAGAATGCAAGACTTACACTTGGTATAAATGGGGTACCATAATGACTGAATTTTATTATGTTAGTGTTCCATATTTGCAGGTATATTCTGTTTTCATTGCAAAATCCAAATTCTTCAGAACATGAGGCCAAAGAAGAGTTTGTAGGGAAGAAGGAATACACTAGTATTTCTTTAGGTATATTGTCCTAACAATGTCATGATCCTGACTTAAAAACCATTGCCTAAGATTTCCGATTTCTGTAGAACATTCCTTTAGGGATATTCATTTATGTTTTTATCTTGCCACTATCCAAATCTTTCTGTTTTTGCTTCTTTCTTCTTTTAAAATCTAATCCTGATGCTCCATTAAGACATTCACTTAAAGGTTAGTCCTTGGATTTATGTTTAAAATACAAGATACTAATTTGTTTATATTCATCTTTCAAAAAAAAATCAGTGAGAAAAGAACTACACCCAGGCAATGAAAGTAATAAAAGTTGAGATATGAAATAGCTATATTTCACACTTTCATATTAAAAGCTGCTAGCAGGATCACTGAGAGCCATCTGGAGTTCTGAGGTCCAAAAGTATGCATTGTTTTAATCTAATAAAAGCAGGCATGCACAGGTGTGCTGAGAAACACTCACTAAAAGTTGTGTTTCTAGGGCTGGGGAGTAAAAGCTCATTCCCTGGAGTACCATTGTAGTTTTCTTTTCCACCAAAAAAAAAAAAAAAAAATCTTCTGCTGAATGTAGCTCATAAAAGTGTCAGACTGACAGCTTTAGAGTCTCAAATTTCTTCTTCACATGAAACAAGGGCAGTGCAGGCAAGAAAATTATAAATTTCTGAAACATCCTTGGTATTACTGAAAAGGTGCTTAATTAGGGCATGATGGGAATTAATAAGTATGCTAAAATTTTTTACAAGAATCAGGTTCTAGTACAACTGAAGTCTATTAGGATAGGATTTAATGAATTCATAAAAAGCACAGGTAGCTTTTCCTATAACTCAATTATTGCTCCTAGAGATTTCATTTTTATTTAGGCTAAAATATTATTTAAAATGGCCATTGGGAAGGGGACCACTTAATGTATAAAATAACTAATGAAATTGCCAATAGATTGTGCTCCATTTACATAAGGGCTTGACCAGTTGACCACAGCAAGTAGTTAAGTCTTTGGAGGACTAAGAGCTTTGGTTCATCTTCTGAAGAGGCAACTCCAGATGTCTAGTGCTTCTGTGAAACAGGCAGATGCAAATATAATCGTTTCTAGTGGGAGCTGGCATTAGACTATTTCTAAAAATTATGTGGCATATTATCAGGCAAAGACTAATGATAAATAAGTAAATAAACAAATAAAAAAAATCAAGGGCTGAAAGAGGCAACATGACATAAATAAAATCCAGTGTAAATAGCAGACAACAGAAAAAAGACAGTGTTTCAGAGGCTCGAAACACTGGAGTTATTAGTAATATTCCAACTAATACTATATTATACTCAAGGGGATAAAAGACCAAATTGATAGGTTTGGCAGTTCTTTAGAAACTAAAAATAGAATAACCCAAATTATGTACCAATAAGTTTATTAACAACTTGGACTCAGGTGAAGAAAGTAAGTCAAGAAAACACCTAGAATAAAGCATGAAAAATAAGTTAGTAAAACATGAGAAAGGCTAAAAGACAAGGAAGGCACAGTGTAAAATCTAAGACATGTATAACTGGAAAAGAAAAATTTGGGAAAAGGAGAAAAAATAGGGAGAAGTATTTTTTTAAAAAAAAGAGTTCATGCCTAAAAACCTTTGTTCAATGGACAAAAACATTAAGTCTCAGACTCAAAAGCACTTACAAAATTTAAAATTAAGTGAGAAGAAATCCTCATTAAATCCTTCACAGTAAAACTGTTAAAAAAAAAAAGAAGACCTTAAGAATAATCTGGCAAGGGGACAATTTACTTTCAAAACAAAAGACAGTTAAACTGACATTTGATTGCTCAATATAAACAATAAAACCAGAAAAATGGAAGGATATATTACAAGTTTTGTTGAAAGAAAATAGCAGCAGACAATAATTGTATAGCCAACAAAGACATCATTTAAATATGAATGTGAGCAGAAAATTTGACATTTAACAAAATGCAGCACATTTTCATAATCAAAATATAAAGACATTCATGAAAGAGCAATGGCTAACATCATATTTAATGCTGAAAGATGGAATATTTTCCTCTTAAGAGCAGACAGAAGCAATAGAATCTGTGTCATGGGTTAAATCAGGTATCTTCCAAAAGCTCATGTGAGACAGTGTAAGAAAGTTTAAAGGTAAAAATGACTGGGTTATGAGAGGCTTAATCTAGTTAGTGCATTAATCCTCTGATAGGAATTAATTGGGCAGTGACTGTATACAGGTAGGGTATACTGGAGGAGGTGGGTCATTGGGGTAGTGCCTTTGTCCATAAAGAGTGGAGCTCTCTCTCTCTCTCTCTGCTTCTTGGTGGCCATGTCCTGATCTGCTTTCCTCTGCCACACTATTCCACCATGATGTTCTGCCTCTCCTTGAGCCCAAAGGAGTGGAGCTGGTCTTATATGGACTGAGACCTCTGAAACTGTGAATCTCAAATTAAACTTTTCCTCCCCAAATTGTTCTTGTCATGTTTTTTGATCACAGCATAAAAAAGCTAACTAAAACAATCTGTATTGACCATTTCCATTGAACATCACACTGGAAGTTCTAACCAGGGCTATTAGAACAATAAATAAATAAGTTTCATTCAGAGTGGAAATGAAGAACTAAAATTGTAATCCTAGTGACTTGGGTGGCTGGGGCAGGACAAATTCATGGCCAGAGAGGGCAATTTAGACAGCAATCTGTCTCAAAATAAAAAATAAAAAAGGATTGAGAATGTTATTTATTGGTAGAGAACCCCTGAGTTAATCCTCACCACCACAAACAAACAAACAACAAATAAAAAAACAAAAATTGTTTGTTTGTAGATGACATGATCTTGTATTTAGAAAACCCTACAGAAGCACTAAGCAATAGCAAAAAACTGTTAAAACTAATAAATGAGTTTGGCAAGGTTGTAGGATACAAAATCAATATAAAAAATCAATTTTATTTCTATGAGCTAGAAATTAATAATCTTAAACTGAAAGCAAATTTCATTTATCATTACATCAAAACCCCCCAAATACCGAAAAATAAGTTTTAAAAAATAGTACAATATTTATCATTTGAAGACTACAAAACATTGTTGAAAGCATCTAAGAAGACCTACCAAATGGAAAGATACCCTGTGTTCAAGAACTTGAAGACTTAATTAATATTATTAAGAGGAAAATACTCTAGGATTTGAAACACAGATAAAGGAATCCTTATCAAAATCCCAGCTGACTCCTTTGCATTAACTGACCAGCAGATCTGAAAAATTGATGAGGAATTCAAGGGACCCAGAATAGCTTAAATAATCTTTAAAAAAATATATAAATTGGAGGACTCACAATTCCTAACTTCAAAATTTACTACAAATCTATAAAAATAAAAATAATGTGGAATGGAAAAAGAATAAAGACTGACATGTTTCAGAGTTGAGAGTAAAGAAATAAAACTTTGTATTTATAGTGAATTGATTTTTGACAAGGGCCTGAAGAAATTGAAAGAGAAAAATAATGTCTTCAATAAATGATGCTGGGACCACTAGGTGAACATATTCAAAATAATGTAGTTGGACTCTTCCTTCATGTCTTGTAATATATAAATATTAACCCAAAAGACAAGGGCTAAAACTATAAAACTCTTAACAAAAAAACACAGGAGTAAATCTTTGTGACCTTGGCGTAGGAAACATCTTCTTATATAGGACACAAAATTACATTAAAAGAAAAAAATTTCATGAAAATTACAACTTTTATGATTCAAAGATATTATCAAGGACGTGAAAAGACAACTTCAAAAGTGGGTGAAAATATTTCCAAATCAGAAATCTGTTCAGGAATTTGTATCTAGAATATATTAAGTATAATTAAAGACATTATTAAAAAGAAATGACTTAATTAAAAATGGGCAAGGGATCTGAGTGGACATTTCTCCAAAGAAAATAAACAAATATCCAAAAGGCACATGAAAAGATGCTCAACTTATTAGCCATCTGGGAACTGCAAATCAAAATAATAGCAGGAGATAGGTATGTGGTTTTGTGCTTATAGTCCCAGATACTTGGTACTTGAGACAGGAGCATTGAGGGTATAAGGCCAGCCTTGGCAACATAGGGAGATCCCATCACAAAAGTAAACAAATGAAAAACACAATGGAATACCTCTTTGGACCGACTGGAATGGTTTATAACTATTGGTCAAAGAGACCAATGATAATGTTAGGATGTGGAGAAATTGAAATCCTCATACATTGGTGGTGGGAAATTAAAGTGGTGCTGACACTTTGGAAAACATTCTGGCAGTTCTTCAAAGGATTAAACACAGAGTTACCACATACATGACCCTGAAATGAAAAATGAAAACATATGTCCACACAAAAATTGGTACACAAATGTTCCTTGTGGCATTATTCACAACAGCCAAAGAGTGAAAACAATCCAAATGTCCATCAACTGGTGAATGGATTAAAAAGTTTATATATGTGCAATAAAACATTATTCTGCAATCACTCATAGCACTGACAGTAACCCCATATTAGCCTTGGTACAGTTCCCTGCACCTCAATTCTGTAGGGTTGCACGAAGAGGATTAGACCACACCTTTTTGTGCTGTGGATGCGTTGCAGGAGAGGAAACATGTAACCTGGAAAGGAGGAGGAAAAGAGAACAAATGTCCTAACTCCATATTCTTCCCACTCTTCAGTTTCTTGCTGGTCCATTCCATTTAACAAACCAAACCACAAGTCAGAAAGTAAGGGAGTGCTTGCTGTTACCCATAAAGGATATCTTTCTGGGGCTCAAGGTAAGGTAGAGAGGGATGGGAAAGAAATTGATGAAACAACTGGACGATTCAAGGGAGAGAAATGGAGTAATATGATAATCCAATATAAGAATATAAGAAATAAGGGGAACAGGAACAAAGCACTAGTTGGATCAGGAGATAGCACTTAATGACAGAGCATTTTTAACTGAAAATGTTTAAGAGCCTTCATTAAAAGCAATGATTATAATTGGATACAAAACAAATAAACAAATAGCCTTTATCAGATGTCACTTACAAGAGACAAGTTTCTCTAAAACAGAGATATAAAAATATCAATAGTGAAAAGTATGGGTAAAGACGTACATAAAACACCAGCCAAACTGTATTAATATAAGGTAAATACTCAAAGGAAAAACAGTAGAGATGAAGGAGGATACCTCAAAATATTAAATGTCTTAACTTGCCAAGATGACTTAATAATTGTAAATAAGAAAAATAACATACTAAAATTTATCCCCCCAATATAACCTCAAAATCCAAAATGAGCAAAAGTAAATAAATAATAATAAATAAAATAAATAGTAAGAAATTTTAATATGACATCTCTCAGAAAATAATAGAACAAAAAATCAGTACGAAAGTAGAGAATATAAACAGCATAGCGAACTGCATGGTACTGGCATAAAACGAGACACAGAGACCAATGGTACAGAATCGAAGACACAGAGACAAACCCACACAAATACAGTTATCCGATCCTTAACAAAGGTGCCCAAAACACTTATTGGAGAAAAGACAGGCTTTATAACAAATGGTTCTGGAAAAACTGGTTATCCATAGGTAGAAGAATGAAACTAGACTCTTATTTCTAACCATGCACAAAAATCAATTCAAAATGAATCAAAAACCTAGGAATTAGACCAGAAATTATGCAAAGTGTAGAAGAAAATATAGGGTCAACAGTCTAGCATATAGGCACAGACAATGACTTTCTCAGTAGGACCTCTAAAGCTCAGGGAAATAATGCAAAGAGCTAATAAATGGGATGGCATCAAATCAAAAAACTTATGCCCAGCAAAGAAAACAATTAAGAATGTGAAAAGAGGCCAGGTGTGGTGAAGCATGCCTATAATCCCAGGGGCTTGGGAGGGTGAGGCAGGAGGATTGCAAGTTTGAATCCAGTCTCAGTAACTAAATGAGGCCCTAAGCAACTTACTGAAACCCTGTGTCAAAATTAAAAAAAAAATAAAAATAAAAATAAAAATAAATAAATAAATAAAAACGAATGTGATGAGAGAAACTACAGAATGGGAGAAACACAAATAAACCAACTAATAAATGGGCAAATGGATTAAACTGACCAAATTGAACTCTACACAACAATAAATCAAACAACTGTAGAAACTCCTTTTTAGTATATGCAAAATATAAAAAGTTACCATAGCCAGGCCATAAAGCAACTTTCAACAAATTTTAAGGGACAGACCAAAATCATTTAGAGTGTATTTTGTAATAAAAGGTAATTACATTTTACATTAAAAAAGAACAAAACAAAAAATGACAGCTGGAACAATCTCCATCATAATGGTAACAATAAAATATTTTGAACAAATAATAATGAAATATATTAAAACTTGAAGGACAATATTCATACTGGAGAATTAAGAATTCCTGTAAAAAATTAGAAAAAAATAGTAAATAAACTAAAGAAAGTAGAAAGAGAAATAGAAAAGATAAGAATAGAAATTAACAAAACAGAACACAAGTGGAAAAGCTTAAAAATTAATAAATTCTGCCAAATACAATAAAGAAAAAAAGAGAAAGTATAGATAGATATCCAATGTTAGTAATAAGGAAGAGAGAAGCACAATAAGTACTTCAGATATTAGAGTTAAAGGGAAAATACAAATAATTTTCGGCTAAAACCTTTAAAAATTTAGATGTAGATAAATTCCTAGACAATGCCACTTGTTAAAATTGACAGTAGAAAACTAAGAATGGAGAATAGTTCTGTAGCTATTAAAAACATTGAGTTAAAACTTTCCCCAGATAAAATTACAAAGCCAGATGACTTTACAAACACACTTGATCAACTGTTAAGGAAGGAATACTAACATCCTTAAATAGAATTTTCAAGAAAATAAAAGAGGGAAACTTCCTCATTTCTCAGGAGGCCACTATATTCTATATGAACATTTCATAAGAATGTTATAAGAAAGGAAAACAATAGGCCTGGAAATAGCTCCAATCTTTATCTGTCATAGAATAAATAAATATATTGTGGTATTCATATAGTGTCAAAGAAAAAAAAGGAGTATCACTACTTGCAAAAGCATGTGAAATATCGAAAATACGGTGGTAAGGGAACCACATCAAACATAAAGGATCAGGAGTAGGATTACATTTGTTCAAAGGTCAAAACTATAAAACCAAATTTATTGTGTTTAGCGAAGAATAACTTAAACCATAAATTAAAAGAAGGGTTTGAATACTTTGGAAGTAAGGCTTGGCAGGAGGGGCAAGTGAGGAAGGCGATCTGGAGAGCTGATGATGATCAGCTGATGATGACCTTGTGAGAAGTTGTCCTGGGTTTTCCTTTGTGAACCTCTCTGTATATGGGCCATCTTTCCTAAAGAGAGGGAGAGAAAAAAGACACATTTTCCTTGAGGATTAGGATGGTTCCTGAGGAGGGGCAGGTCAAGGAGGTGGAAGGGGTAGAAAAGATTCCCCCATGGTAAAAAGGCCAAGAGACAAATTTGCTTCCTCTGCAGTTTTATAGGCTCAAGTCCAAAGGGGCAACAGCTACCCAGGGGAGTGGTACTGGTCTTTGGTACCAGCATATCTGCTTTATTTGCTAGTTATGGGGAGAAAAATCCACAATAATCTCTCATTAACTTTCATTTTATAGAAAGATGCCTGTTTAGGTCTGAAAACATTCTGTACCTTTTATACTGCCTAGTCCTTTATGTAGACTCATTTCATGTAAACCTCTCAGATATGAAAACTAGTTCCTTTGTTGTTGCTTAAAAAAATGTGAATGAGCTAATTCTCATAATTCTTGGTACAGCTCCTTAAGGTATTATTGAGAGTAAATTCAATATTTAATGCTGATCAACAATGCTCGGAGACCTGTTCTTTTCCTGTTCTTTTCCAGATTTTTACTAACTAGCAAAATGTGTAGAGTGGAGACACAATTGATATATCATTGTCACCAGTGAATACTCCACCTTGAGGATAAGAAACTATGCTGGAAGTGGAGCGGGATATACTATTAGGAGATTGTATTTCCAGTAATTTCAAATATGTATGTGATTTTTACATATTCTTTTCTCCAACAACAGTAATGAACAAACAAACAAAAATAGAACCTGGTGTGTGTGTGTGTGTGTATGTGTGTGTGTGTGTGTGTGTGTGTGTGTGTGTGTGTGAGAGAGAGA